TTAAGAATGACAACAATAATACTGGTTATCATACTTATTCTTTATGAAAGGCAAACCACATAACACATAATAAACATCTGAAAATTTCAAGATACTACATCGGTCTTACAAATCCATGCTTGTGCTATTGTTTGTGGGGTCTCCTGAGGTACGTCATAGTCACAACAGTGGATGCAGCACAGCTGAGATAAAATATTGCATGTATGAGGATAAAATCATTACTAAATGAACAGTCTACAAATAAAGTGCAATTGTGCCATTCTGCAACATGGCGATGTTCTTCCAAATATACAAGTGACCTTACTACACGTTAGTGCAAGTAAACACAGAAATTCTGCAATATGTCCCCAAGTAGAAACATCTTAGGAGACATGACTAATGCTTTGGTATTGCAGAGTAAAAGTGAAAAGAAATAAATGAATACACGATGAAACTGATAGATATATGATAGATGGAACATTGACATATAAAACATTGATATGATTTTTATCTATTTAGAAAATGACATACACATTGAAATTGTAATATTGTCTCGCCAACATTTCATAGTGTCAAAGCGCTTTTCAGCATCCCTGCCAAAAGCCCACAGTGAGCAAGCCGGAGGCAACAGTGGCAAGGAAAAACTCCCTAGAAGGAAGAAACCTTAGGAGGAACCAGACTCAGAGGGGGAGCCCATGCTCCTGGGGCTGGCAGGGAAAGTCAGTCATAATTCACATTTTCCCACGCTTCACATTTGAGATGCAAGCAGAGAGCAGGCAGTTGATGGTAGGCAAGTGCTGGAGCTGTTCCAGATGGCGGGGCAAACAGTAGTATGGCAGCAGGGCAGAGGGGGAAGACATCACAGGCAGAAGGGCAGAAGAATAGAAGCACAAGAAATAAAACTGGCACACCATAACAAGAAACATACAGGAGCAATGATGCATTATAATCAAGGTAGCCTGGGCATCATTCTATAATGTTTGGAGATTATGTGTGGCAGGGTTCACTACAGGTATCAGTGCTCAATTGAGGAGGTTTGTGCGCACTGCACACTAGGCCTGAGTCCTCCACACATGGCTTGGCTTATTGGCAGAAAGGGCGAAGGGAGACTTGATGCAGTGGCCATGGGGTCAGTGACATCGACAGCAGGCACTGGAAAAAACAGGAAACATGCATGTCAGTGAACAAGAGACTGACAGTTGCCAAGTCAAACTACCTCAGAGAAGAAGTAGCCTTGGAAAGAGGAAAACTCACAAGGGCAAGCAATCTTCTGGTCAGGTAGCAGGGAGTGCAATGTGTTACGGGAACTTCATGTAGTGGGCATGGAGTCAGCAACAACAGTAGCATGCGACGTGAAACTGGCTCAGAAAGAACAGTGGATAATGCAGTAGCCTACAGGCTGCATAGACAGATGAGCGGCAGCAAGCAGAGATTGAGATACGCAAGCGACATTTATACAAAGGTCCCTTGGGTTGATCTTCATGGTGGTAGATGATGATTTTGCAATGGTGACCTGAGGAGATTCGTAGAAAAAGTCAGGTTAAAGATCTGGAACGCCAGGATATAGCAGATAATTTTGACAATGTTCAGCTGGCTAATGTCTCAGCTTTTGTACCATCAACTGTAGTGGAATAACTACGACAATGATGTTAAGGGAGACACTGAATCACGCACCTTTGCTATGCCCACACGGTCATGCACAGCCACTGCGTCTAGATGAATATTCTTGGCAACACACTGCACAGCTTTTCCAGGTATGTTCCTCGCTCATCCATATGTATGACTACAAGCAAGTAACATGGAATGCAGCTTTATCAACTGTAGAACAGAAACACAAACAAAATGAAGTCCAGCCTAGAGATTGCATCACATACTTTATGACAAAACAGGAAAAGCAGACCTACATCCAATGTTTCCTTCCATAGCCTGAAACTTTTCTGTAAGACACTACACAGACAGATGACTATAAGAGCTTACCGTGGCCTACAGATGTCTGTGGTCATTTGCCCTTGAAGGCTCCAGACAAGGTCTGCCTTATTAGCACAAGCCATGGGGTGAGTGATGTAAGCAGCAGGCACTGGAAAAAGAGAAAAACCAGAAATTTGCATGACAGTTAGGCAAATATTAACAGTGGCCAAGTAAAAGTGCCTCAAAGAGGAAGAAACCTTCGGAAGAGGCAAACTCACATGTCCAGCCCAGCATACTCTGGCCAGGTTGCAGGCAGTATGATGCATTACTGTCCCAATCTGATGCTATAAGAAGTGCAGGGGGTGATCTGGCTTAGGGTGGGGAGCATACAAAGACGGCTGGTGGCAGGCAGAGGTGGACATAGGTAGGGAACATGCATGCAAACGTGCACACAAGGTCCCTTAGCTTGATCCTCAGAGTGCCACATGGTAATTGTACATTGGTAGTCTTGGGTAATTAGTAGGAAGAGAGACTACAAATATGGTTTGATGGTTTGTGGTTGCGTGTTTGGGTGTGTGGGTGGGGGGAGGAATGCAGCATTCTATTTATGTTGGAGGTCAGAACTGGAAATGTCAGGCTGCTTTACACATAAAACTTTGTAGTGACCACAGATAAGTTGTGCATGTTGTCACTTCCAGCTTCAGTCCTCAGAAAACGACTCAGAAAGAGTTCTGACAGCAAATGGAACGCACTACAACAGGGGTGTCAAACTCTAGTCCTGGAGGGCCGGAGCTCTGTCTAGCTTAGTTGTTTCTGTTCCACCACAGATGATTCAGTTCAAGAGTGACGTGTTAATTAGCACAAGGAGTTGAATCAGGTGTGTTAAATGAGAGGAAACTCAAAAATGTGCAGGGCTTCGGCCCTCCAGGACTGAAGTTTGACACCCCTGCAGTAGAACATTAACACAAATGATGATGATGTCCCCCCAGACCCAGCCCCCTAACCTCACCCCTGTGCCAGCCACCCCAAGCTTAGTCCCA